GGAATAAAAAATGGATATACTACTTGTATAAGTAAAAATATGGTCATGGTTTATTAACATTCCACTTATTCCTCGAAAATTCTGATAAATGTTTCCTAGTGCATTTTGTTCAACTTTACCTTTGGTGTTAAGCAGTGTCTTGAGAGTGCTCTCTTTCCATAAATTTCTAAGTAAAGATTCTTTGGCATTGGGGATGGGGTAGGTTGGGAGGTGGAATAGACCATTTCATGTTCACAGATGTTGTGTTTCCGATGTTTTGGCAGATTTTAGGGTCCTGACTGGGCACAATCCAAAGCCTATGGGTGGTGACATGCACATGGAACTACAGCTTTGCATGCGTCTGTTTTGAAGTAGGTGAAGGAGGCACAAAACTCATGACAAGCCCATTAACAAAGGCCACTCATGTCCCATTTTTTTCCTATCCTCCTAAGCCCAAGTAATATCAGGCACTATCATTCTACTTTGTATGTTATGCAGTTTCCTTTTATATTCCCTGTAACTAGAAATGTGAACTTTGTTTCTGATAAAGAAGAGCCACTACGGTCTGAACTAGGTGTGGAAAATGTGGCTCTCCAGGTGTTGCTGTGCAGCAGCTCTTATCAGCCCTAGGTAGCATAGCTGATGGCAGGAAGGGATGGAAACTACAGTCCGCCAACATCCAGAGGACCACCTATTTGCCATCATGGCTCTAAACCATAGATTATTTTGAAGGTACTGAGGATCGGCATGTAGCCAAAAAAAGGCTCAACCGGCTACATTACATCATGGCCCCATGTGCTGTGAGGTATACTTTATATTATGCTAATTAACCTAATGGTTCATTCACCTCTGCTCATTAAAATGGAATGCACCTGCCCTGTGCTTTCAAAATTACAGCCATAGTGCAAATTCATATCAAAAGGTATGTCTTTCCATTGCTGCATCTCCAGAATCCTAGACTGAATCTCAAGGTTTTTTGGGGTGTGTGTCTCCCAATGAGGTGCTGAGGAAAGGAGGGGCTGCTCCCATTCTGAGTATTAGGGAAAAAACAGAAGTATGGATCTTTCTGCATGTGCAGAGTCTTTGAAGCTGCTAATGAAAACAGGGCATGCACACATCTGTGCTCTGAAATGCAGGTGTGCATGAATTTGAGCCCCTCATGTGCGCCATAGCCTCTAGGACAGGTGTGCTACTTAACAATCTTTAGTAACTTGTTCTCCTTCCCTCCACTGTGCAAATGAACTGTTTAAACTGATACTGTTAAATACTGACTGTTGTAATGCTACTCTTTTCATGCAGTGGTGTTTTTAAATTCTTCTCTGGAATTCAAGTCTTATGCAAAAGGGTGTTTAAATTATTCTGCTAGAGAACTGCAATTATTGTACTTGATTAAAAAAACCCAAACCAAACCAAAATAAACAAAAAAAGAATCACTGGACAATTACCATTTCTTTTGACTACTCATTTACAGCTTATTTAAGTATTTACATGATTTTAGGACGCTACCCTAAACCATAAATAGAATCAGCTTTTTGCCTTACATTGAAGTACAAATTAGAAGTTAAAAATGTTAAGAAATCTGATAATATTTACACACGGTCGGTTTTACTTATGATTGCTCACATTGTATGTACTATATACAGATAGCAAAATGTCATGATCACTACATTTTGAAGTATTGTACCCTGGCCTTCCTGTCTGTTTTCATATTTTGCTCCCCACCCCCAGGTATTAGACTTTTTAAAAAGGTACTAGTGGACAATGCTTTTATTTTAAAAAAGAGAAGAAATAGGCAAGCAATGTGAGAGCTAGTCTACTCTGAGATGCTAGGAGATACAGTACTATCATTATGTCAACTGTGAAATGCTTTATAAGAATTCTATGCATTGATCTGCTGATATAGAAATGCCCAGTTACCCTGTATAGTAAGATTTTAAATACATCAATAAGTTTGCTTTCTTTAAAAAAATTAACTGGTTATATAGAAACAAAACTGTTATTAGCTTACTCCTTTTAAAACACCAGTGTAAGATTCTAGCCCAAATCCAGACAACCACAAGCACCACAGAAGGCCGCATACTTGCTGTACTGAAGAAGGAACAGGACCGGACACAGCTGCTTTCAGATTTGATTATCTGATGGCTGGGCAGGAACAGAAAGCACATGTGCTAGATTCATGCTGTTGTCTTCCTTCCTCTATGAAATGGCATCATAAACCACCTTGACTCTTCAGTACAATTTTTTTTTTAAATGGGAGCAGGAGCTTCTTGGAGGAGTCCATGGGAACACTTTTAATTCCTCCTTGCCTACAAATCTACTCATGGTTCACTTGATGCCCATCATAGCACTAATCTGATTTATTGAAAGTTATAGCTGCAGTCTTGGAAGCTTTGTTGGAACTGCAAACAGATTTCTGGATGTTCAGAGGCCTGCTCTCCTTCTTGATCTTTTAGCAACCTTCCTGCACCCCAGTGTAGCAGATCTGTGGAAAGAAACCATTCCACCTGTGGACTGCTGTACCTAGATTAGAAAATCTGTGTGCGCGTGCATGCACACACACACTCACGTCTGTATGTGTGTACATCAATCTATCGTGCGTGCATGCAGTATATACATACATACATATAGATATATATATATATACATACACACACACACACACACACACACAGAGTCATAGTCACCATATACTTGGTTAATACTTTGTGTTTTATTTTCTTCTCTTATATTAATCCAGCTATGAAAATGAAACATTTTCATTTATTTAAAAAAATAATTATTTTGCTTGCATTTCTATAGTACATTTTACTTAAACTTAAATGGGATTTGTTCCCCAGATATATCTATCTATTTATCTATCTATATGCACTTGCTCTCATGTTCTCTATGCATTGTGCTTTTGTCTGGCAGATTCTAAGTTTTTCATATTACAATATAAAAATTCTCAGGTGTGTCTCTCTTCCGATGCTATTATTCAAGACTTTGTTTCTCCCTGGGGATGATAACAGAAAGTGTTCAAAATGACATTGCTTGGTTCTTTCTTCCCAGTTATTAAAACTGCAATAGTAGAGAAACATAACATTCCTTAGGCAAACACAAGTATGCTGTATGAATTTTTAGTTTGGAAAATGCATATTAGACTTACTAGCAGTCATATACAGAATATATTTACAGAGCGTTGATTGCAAAGGTATTGTTAAAACTGTGTATTATATAGTTGTAATTTTGCCATGAATTTCACAAAGATGAAGAGAAAACACCTTAATTGCTGGCTAGTATGCATCCTGAACCTGAAAAAAATTGAATAATTATTACGTTGAAATGGGGATCTAAAAAAAAAAGAGCAAGCATATATTTCAAATCCAATTTAAAGGTAACAACTTATTTAAATTTCCTTTGTGAAACAAATCATGTAATACTTTCAGCTGTCTTTACCACATGCTGGCGTTACAGACAAAAAGCCCTCCTCCCTTCTCTTTAAAACTTCATTCTAGTTTATACAACTCATAGTACTTTGAGTTAATTAGTTCAGAAACATGGTATCTCATCACCTATGTCTGGAAACATCTTCCCTTGACAATATAAACAACCTCACGGAGGTGACTGTCCACTTTTCCTGTTACCCCCCCTGGGCTGAAATCACCCTCTCATTGGCAAGGTCAGAAAATGTTATGGCTTGTACTATAAACCTCCAAATGTCTTAAAGTGCAGTATTAGGAGCTGACCTTCTAATTTTCATTAAAGCTGACCTATTGAACCAATGTAAGAAAAGAGATAAAGGTACTTTTAGATAAAGATCTAAAAATCCCAGACATTTATTGTAATGTTCTTATTTTCAACACTGGTTAAGTGTTGCTTTTATAAAAACCCCTGGGCAGCTTCATTGTGCAGAGGAATAAATGCAATAAACCCTGAATGCAGAGCAACTGTCTCAGTCTGCACAAAATATGTTTCAAACGAGGGTTCTTTTAGAACTCTTCTGGTCTGTTTGGGGGCATCACCACAAGAATGGCTTCTGAAATGTGTATAACTAGTCCAGCTGCACCCAGGGAACTATGAGTCAGACTAATAAATGTTCCTATTCCAAATTCCCACAAACTACGTAGGGATACTGGATCCACGTTAAAACCAATTTTAAACCATTTTATACAAAGGGACAGTAAAAGACTTATACTGCTGAAACCAAGACATGTGCATCAGCAAAAGGAGATTATTTACTGTTTTAGAGGATTAGGTTCCCTAGCCAATTCCAGCTCCTTTAAACGGAAATTTCTCCCCTCCACTTCACAAGCAAGTAGCTCTTATACACTAATAGCAAGAGCGATTGCAAGCCCCATGCAAACTATATTGAACTGACTGGAGAGTATGCAGCAATAATATTTGGTGGATTGAAAACTTTCGAGTTTGCCCCATTCTTTCAAGAAACTGATCCATAAAATATTAATATGAAGAAAAAGAAGACGAAAAGGGCATTTCTAAAACTCGAGATTATTATTCAGCTCCTTTCAATGGAACACTCTGAAGGTCCCTCCAGCTCTGTATTGATTCCCCACCAGCCCCAGCCCCACCAAACAACAGCTTCCAAAGCTCTGCTGTGAAAAAACAACACTCCTAGAATGGGATGCAATGGAACTGAGACCTGGAGACCACAATCTAACTCTGCATTTGACAGTGACCTTTTTTCTTCTAAAATATCTCTTGCTGAAACAACAAAGTGGGGGGATGGAATGCCTATGAGAACTGTGATTAAGAGTCCATAGGAAGGATTTAGGCTTACAGACAAACTGAGACCAATTATCTGCACAAGATCTGAATGCCTCCACTTGGTTGGCTCTTCCTTTTGGAAACACTGGCCACTGTTTTCTCTCTTCCACAATGAAGGGCAGAGCACTGAGAGAAAGCCACCTAGGAAGACACTGCTGGCCCACTGACATTTGGCACTTTACACAGAGAATGCTCCTCATTATGTTTAATGGCACACCACAGCTCGTGCTTTGAGCCTCTTCCAACCCCTCTACACAGCACGGCTAACAACTGTTCTGTACTAATGCTGCTTAATATTTCTTCCGGGCAAAATACTTCCACAATTGGAGTGAACCCGTCTCTCACTCTTCCCTTCTCTAATCTACTCTGGAAACCGATCATGGCATGACAATAGGCACTACTCATTTTCAAGTTAATATTTTAAAAAAGTAATTTTGTGGATTGTAAGCATTATCGTAACAGGAATGCACTCCCACCATTTGGGTAATGTTCCAGGTGCGAAAAGAGGCATGGCACATTGCTCCCAGAGCCCAAAACCTGTTTTCCAGTTTCTTCTTTCTGGGTCTAAACTTACTGGTGCTAAAATGAGGGGTGCAGGACTGAAATGACCAACTCTCATATTTTGTCTCAAAACATCAACACAGACATATCTGTAAAATTTGTGTTGTATACATTTGTAGTGTAATTTCTATGTTTGTGCAAAGAAAACTCCCCAGAATTACAAAACAGATTACGGAGTGGGCCAGCAACTAAGGTGTTTTAAAGTAACTTTTTGTCCTGAATAAGGTTTTTGTTTTCCCTAAGTCCCACATTTGGCTGTACAACTGATTTTGAAGAGAAATCCAGTTCTTAATATCTCTGTGGCTTTGTTTTGTTTTTAGTTCACATAGTAAAGCCAATAGACAATATTGAAGAAGGAAAAAACAACAGGGAAGAATATGCGTGACCATCGATCTATGGCATTTACATCAGTCAAGTCAGGGATGGTGATTTTTAACTGAGAGGCACGTCTCCGTAGCCGGCTTTTCTTTTGTGCCACATGCCGCTCCAGGGCATTACGGCCAAAGCTGTGTCTTGGCAAGCCAGCCTTCCGGTATTGGATACTCGAGGTATCGTAGGCCAGCATAGTGCTCCTAGGGTCCCCAAGGCCTATAACCGCTTCGGAGGCAGCCATCTCGTTTTTAATTTCAAGTGTGCTCAACAGAATGTTTTCATGTGGATCCATCTGGAAAAAATAAGAAATAAGCTTAGGGTGTGAAATAAAAGCATCAACTCCAACCAATTTAATAGGCAGGCCAGATCTAAGACATCCAACTCAATGCAGATCTACAGAGAAGTAGCATACACGTATTTACTGAAAAGCACAGGCAAATACATAATATGGCACTATCAGTAGCCACATGTTTGTCTGGCAGATGTCTTGGAAATCTGCTGTACCATCGCTATGTTCTTGCATGAAGTGCAGCACTTTTCAGGCCTAACAATTCTGTTCTGACAAGGCTTACAAATATTTATGATAAGAATAAGCTTTAAAAAGCTAGAGAATGAGGGAGACCAAGTATGACTCTTGGCTACTGTGCTGTTTTCCCTCAAAACATTTGAATTTTAGCACAGCCCTATATTGTTTTGGAAGCAGTACAAATACTACTCAGAATGAATTTGAAATTCATCTGTTGGGAGTAAAGCTTAGGTAATTCTTATTACCCAAGAAAAGCTGACAAATTATGTTTCAACTGTACTGAATCTTCTTTCTAAGTAGGAGCACTCAGGATAATAGTTTTCACTCTGAGGAAGAGATGGGATCATTATCCTGAAGCCTGAGATCAGAACAGAAGACTGGCCATAGCGTGAGACTGCACTTCAGAGACAAGATTAACCAGGCATTCATTTCAGAGCTTAATCACATTTAATGTCAACAATGCATTTGGAGAATTATTAGTAACACCGCCATTTTTAAACATAAAAACGTAATACAATATTTCTTTTAGAAGTGCTATGTTAAATTTCTGGCATTAAGCATACAAAGGCACATGACAGGAGTCACAGTGAGCTCTCAGTTACTGGAAGATAAATACAGAATATTCTTTTCATTATTTGTATGTTCCTCTTAAGCAAAAAAGCTTATGTGGGTGAACCTTTTGCTGAAATGAACTATATATCAACTTTTAATTTTAATAACCATTCAAAGTAAATCCTAATGTTCTCACTATGTCATCAGTTTCGTTCCTGTTATCTCATCAGATAAGTACAATTAATATTTTGGACTTTTACTAAGTATTATTTAGTACTGGAAGACTGGTGCATTTTATACCAGCTGAGAATAGACCTTGCATTTCCATCTGAAAGTAATTTGAACTTCAGCAAGGTTTTATTAACTTTGCAAATTTTCTTAAGAGAACTGTAGTGATGTATTTTATTGGACCAACTTTTAATGGTGTACATTGCACATAAAGTCCACTTCTATTACATGAGTGGTGATAAGCTTAGCTCATAAGGAGATCCCTTTCCATTCTAGCAAGTGTGTGTGTAATGACAGACACAGATTGTATTAGATTCTCTTTCCTGTCCATGCCCCTCAGCTTCTTTATTTTTTTCAGTTCTGGAGACACCTTTCCTTCAAAAATTCAGGCCCTCCATGAATTTCTTCTGCTAGAGGGCTCAGAGAATCTTAATTTTAATGAGTAGACAAGAATAAAAACATTCTACTGAGAATAACCTCCACTGAGAATAGCCCATAAATAGTAGAAGTTGGTTATTAGAGTTGGTTTCTTTTTTTATTTCCCCAAGCATAATAAGTAGGGGCAAAGAGTGGCAACTAAGGCAACAATTAGGTGATACATTTAGCCTGCATTCTATCTCTTGGCCCATGTAGGCACCCAATGAGTGGAACATGGGGGGCACACTGCCTCAAAATTATAAGATGAACTCTACACCCTGCTGGGTACCTGCCCTCAGTTACTGGCACACCATTCCCTCTAAGGAGATCTTCACTGGTAAATGGTTTTTCAACTGATAGAGAAGAAACTGTGGGTATGGACATGCATTAGAGCACTGGTTCTTAACCTTGGGTTACTCAGGAGTTTTGGACTGCAACTCCCAGAAGCCTTCACCACCAGCTGTCCTGACTGGGGTTTCTGGGAGTTGCAGTTCAAAAGCATCCGAGTAACAAAGGTTAAGAACCACTGCATTAGAGCGTAGATGAAGTGCATATATGCTGCTTTCAAAAGGGGAATGATTTCTAAGCACCCCTACTCTGATGCAACATATTATATAAATACGTCTATGAGTGCAACTTGTTCTTTAAAAGTGTGGACTTCTGATAAAAATGGAAGTGACTTGTCAATTAGGGCAAGTGGGGCACTGCCGCACCTCAGCCTCAGCCAGTGCCTATTTATGCCACTAGTACAGTGTTACATTCCCGCCTGTCTCCTTACCAGAGCAGTGAGAATCAAGGTATTGTTGTGATCCCTTCTTGCCAAATTCTGAGTCTCAGAATCTGTTTGAGTGGGAAGAGGAAAGGGAAGAAGTAGCAGGAAGCCGGAGGCTGTCCCTCTTGGCTGCGCCCACCATTGGTTGGCTATTCTGCGTTTTGACCTACCAACTGAATGGGCAGGAATCACCACTGAGTACAAACACATTTGTGTTGCCTAGCAACTGCCTCTTGGGCTTTGATAACTGTGGCATAATCACTTCAGCTAAAATCCATAACCCACAGTGAACCTTCTTATCTGTTACTCAGAAATAGTCAAACAATCAGTGGTGTGTCATCTGAAGGTTGTAATCAAAATGTTAAACAGCTACACAGGTTTTTATAAAAATCTAAGAGCTCTGGGGATACGTTTGACTTTAAATTATTAGATTTCTATTTGTTTATTAAGTGCATGTAATTGTTTGCTCTGATATGATATTAAATGTCATAAAATACAGGGTCTTATGGCAAATTAGACATTAACAAGTTTTATTTGCCATACGTTTTTACAGATTGCAACCCACTTCATATGTACAGAATGTACCCTCAGTAGACAGATGTTTAAACCATGCGAGAACCCAATCTATCTGATCATTGTAAATGTTTGTCTACTAGTTTGTCTACTAAGGATATACCCTATGCATCTGAAGAAGTGAGCAACAATGTACAAAAGCTGTTGGCAAATGAAATATTTATTCTTTAAGCTATCACAAAAGTCATTGGAAATTTAATATCATAGAAAATCTACAAGATGTCACACAATTTTTAAAGCAAGGATTGCAAGATAGCTTCAATAGGTTAGCTTTAAAGACTATCCTGTCAGCTCATCGTAGAGTTCACCCTTTTTTTGGATCCTTTAACAGACTGAGATGAAATGTAGTTTTCAATCAAATTATCCAATTCTGCTTTCAAATCAAAACCATGCAGATCTTCTCTGGTAAGCAATGTCTGGCATTCCCACAGAAATTCTTTCTGAATACACGGAATGATGGTTGTCATTCCAAAAACCTCATCAGTGTTCGCATTTAGTTCACACATTAAGAAAAAGCCTGTTAAATATGACTTTTAGTTTGGTCTGTAAGAGAATTAATATAATTCTGATCAGAATGCCTGCAGCAGGTCCTTGACCACTTCCCATGAAAAGAACAAATCAAGAAGACCCAAGCATACTACTTTTGCAGGTTTGTTAAGAAACAGTTATTTATGTATAAACATAGCCATTTCATTTTTCAAGACACTACTACTTCATCCTTGAATTATGAAGTCAGCCAACCAATCCCAAACAAGGGTAAACAGGCAGAGATGAATACTTTCCTCCTGAGTCAATGGATTAGTAATTAGTATGCTAATTTCAACATATATTTCATGGCACTGAGCATTAAAGAATTCACTATTTGGCAAATAGCAAGTTCTTTAAAGCTTAAATAATTCAAAATGCAATTTAAGAGGAAGGAAGTTAGCTTTGTGACAAAACTGTGAAACAAACAGCATTTTTTATTACATTTGAGATTGTAGTACAGGAACACTGGGAATTCCAGGGGGAGGTGGGGAGGTTGGATGGGGTGAATCACACAAGCAGGAATAGCAAAGCTTTTTGGAAGTTTCATTTTCCATTTCCAGTACCATCCCAAACTTCTGGAGCCAAATGAGTCCTCAGCCTTCTAAACACTTCACTGCAAAATATACAACAAACAAACCTGTGCAGCTTGGCCCAGATAAATTTGTCTAAATATGAATATATATTTAGACATCTACACACTCTTACAAAATATTTGAAGTGTGTTGAGACTGATAATGAGTAGGGAAGCATCTGATAATCAGATGGATCAAGTTCTCTTTTGGCCAGCTTTGGAGTCTTCCATGGTCACTGCAGAGATGCCATTACAATTGTTTCAATGCAAATAATTCAATAAACTGCCAAACATTGAAGGAATTTAGCAGGAAAAGCAAAATAGTTTTCAGCACATATGCCATTTAATAACCATTCATATTTTTCCGTTATAAGAGTTTTTCTGCTGTGATCAGACATTTTTCTGATAACACAACAGTTTGAGAAGGCTGGAGGTCTCTATACCTTTTCCAAATAGAAATTACTTGATAGCAGTAAATTAGTAATGGATGAACCTCCAATTGTTATATAGTAGGTAGCAATAGACTGTAGGTTTGTTAATTATAAAGCCAGTTTTCCCTGGGTGGAAACGGGACTGCATTTAATTTCCAGAATAAGAAGTAGGTAAGAGTATAATAAAGAAAAATGATGAGAAGTGAATTTTTCAGATTTTTGGATCTGAAATACAAGTCTTGAGTTTTAGGTTACACTTGGAGTTTCATTGTAATCAAACAGGTTCACCCATCCCTAATGAAAATGTATGCTTGTAACTAAGAGAAGCTTACAATACAACACAATAATTCTGTAGGCGCCTTTTATCCGTAAGGATCTCAAGCGCTTTACAGACTTTAGAAAGCGACATCACTTCACCAACAAGTGCAGTCATCTCTCAGGCAACATGTGGTAGCTATCTAAGAATACACTCTAATTTTATACAGGAAATGAAGAATGCTATTGCCAATTAAAACTATGCAGTGGATGGGTGGGAAGATGGATGAGTAATAGGATGGTTCAGAAAACAGACAATTCATAATACAATCAAAATATAGACAGGATCCTGGCATAAGATGACAGCTCTTATAAAACGTGCCATGGGATCTTTAATGGCCACTAATGGTCCAGACCTCAATTTTAAGTCTCTAAGGATAAAATCATTAGAAAACAATAAAATATACCTTTGTTGAATACATTTCTGGACAATGATATGTCCCAATAATTCTTCTGTCCTGTAAGTTAATAAAACCAAGACCAGTTTCCTTAGAGAAAAGGCAGCGGTTAGCTTTCATTAAAAATTAATTCATTATAGGATATTATTATTATCATAAACTATGCACTATAATTAAAAACACAGGGCACTCTAAGCCAACAATCAGCTGAATTTTACTGTGAGTTTAGAAGTGCTGTTGTTGTCTAGGTCCTGACATTATACACAACATGATATATGTATATGTATATATGTGTCCCTGTGTGTGAAACTCAGCCATTTTTGGAGAGAAAAGAAATAATCAAGGGAGAAATAAACTGTGACATGTAACAATTATTCTAGAGAAAAGAGAACAATATGTGGATTTTGACATTTATGAAAGGAAGTTAGAAAGGAACTTGTCTGGTGCTATATGGTTATGCATTCATAGAACAGTATTCTTGACAGTGCAAGACAGACTTTAGGTACTGTACTAAATAAAAGAAGTTCCACAGGGCTGAAAGTTAGGAAGTAGAATATGTGAAAGTGAAGAACAGTAATCAGTTATGAAGGTAAAAGATGAATGCTATAAAAACTGCAGCTGAAATTCTGTAATCATGGAAGTGTTATATGATCATTTTAAACAATAACATGGCAAATGGTTTTAAAACTGGAAGCACTGATGGTCTTAAAACCAATATGTTGAGTGTTGACTGAAGAGCGCAGCTAAAACAGCAGGTGCTTTGACTGGAGAATTCCAACCTGTGTCTAGAAACCCCCAAATGATGGGTTTTTACAGCAGTTATCTGTAATATTTTAATACCTGCAATGCAGTTATGCAGTTGTTAAAATATATCTATGGCAAGATCATTTTTCTTTGTGAATATCATTCAACAGCATATCTTGCTGTTTTGAAGCTTTATTTATACCATAGTTCTACAGTTACCACTTACCACTTATTATCAAATAGTCATTGGCATGCTAACATGGCAAAACATTCCAACTATACAGTTTTGCTGGCTGCATAAGACTTGCTTTTAAACAAGACAGAAAGCTGTAGATAAGATGATAAAATTGCATCTCAAGATTTAAAAAGTCAAATAATGACAAATAATTTAATTTTTTTTAACACTCATTGGTTATACTATCCCTAGTCAAAGGGGTTAAAGCAAGGTAATCTGTCTTATCAATTCAGCATTTCACTTCTAGTAAAGGCTCACTCAGAAAGAGGAGTAGCAGTTCCAGGTCAGTATGTGCACTCCTTCTACTGAACCTCCTGGTCACAGGCAACTAGGCAGCTCTTCTTTCTGCTCATCCTTTTTTCCTTGCATTTAAATACATACTCCCACCCCGACCCTGCAAATTTATTTGACTGCTTCTTCCAATGCTCTGTTCCTAGATTCTCTGATCTCTTTCCCTTGCTGTCCAGTCAGTTCCCATTTTCTCCTTGCTATGACCACATTCTAAACCTATTTCCTCGAGCTTTTTGTCTGTGCTGTCCTTCTCTAGGGCTGAACTGCTCCTGTAGGATCAGAGGGTGGCAAAAGACCTTTACAAGTCTAGGCAGTTTGGCCAATGGAAATGGAAGGTAACTCTGTGTGACCATCTCTTCTTATTGATCTTTTTTTGCCACCATACAAAATGTATTAATCATATTTTGCCAGTCCTTTGACTCTTCTGCGCTTGCCTTGATTGGTAATATCATAAATGGAAAGTTTACCTTAGGTAAAAATCTTCATTTTGTATACAGTGATTGTGCCAAACTATGAAGGTGCAATTTTCCTTAAATCATCAAACTTTTAAAAAAATAATTTGTTTCAATATTTTTAAATTATCCTATTTCGATCTTTCTAATTTAACTGGACTATTTATACCTAAATACTACATAGATTTCAAATATTAATATCCATTTTCATAATTTTTATTTTTCCTCATTATTATAGTAAAACGTCAACATTTCTGATTTATGTCAATTTATCTGTAAACCCATTAGCTCCCCAAATTCTTTTAAATGTAATTTTAGCCTCTCCATAATTTTATTGGGATTTCTGTTATTAATAAAGTATAAATAAATAAGCTATCTTTAGTATTAGAGATGTGTTATTTGTGTTCATACACTAATGCGAATATCATAGATCCAGGTATCCAGGAACCCCAGGCCCACCTCCCCTACTTGACCTGTCCACTTATGGGTTGCTGCATGGTGCGCATAGCTGGTGTCCTGCTCGTTGCTCCAATCCTGGACGTAGCCTGGCTAGCATTTCTACACCTCCCTGTGCTGCTGGCTACTCCAGGAATGATGAGTCTCCCCACTCAGTTGCTGTGTGGCCAGTAACACAGGGAAGCAGAGAAGTACCAGCCAGGCTACGTCTGGGATTGGTGCAATGAGCAGGATGCTAGCTGTGCACACCATGCAGTGCACACATGGCAACTGTCAGTGGGTTGGTTCCAGGAGACAAGACTGGGCTTCCTGGCCACCTGGGGTCGGGATATTTGTAGTCGTATACGAATACGAATATCCCATCTCTACTTAGTATCAATACCTAAAATTTCTTTGTCTTTTCGAATGACATTCGTCAATAGTTCTATGACTAAAATAAATAATACTGAAGAAAGGGAATATCCTTGTCTAGTGCCACAGTCTAGGGACATCTGTTCCCCCATTATTTATTAATACTGCCGAGGTATTCTCTGAATATAACTGGTCTATTATTTTCTTAAATCATTCACAAAAGCCTAATACCTTAGTCACCATTTTGAATGTTGGTCATTCAACACAATCAAATGCTTAAAAATATCCAGTGAAATTTTACTCATCTTTACTTTTGGTTTTGTTATTTCATTTACAGAATTTAACACTCTTCTAGTCAAATCTGTTATTTGTCTTCTTAGCATAAAACTACTTTGATCTTTTAAAATGTACTTAATAATAAAATTATCTGCTAATATTGCTGTAAATAACTTGCATTTTTAAGTTATTTTTAAAAATAGGTTTATTAACTCTAGAATCAATAGGGTGCTTATTCATTTTTGGAATAATAATTGAGTGCTTTCAAAATAATGGAATCTTTCCACCTTCTATTATTTTATCATAAAGGGACTTTAATTTTCTATAGCAGTTGACTGGTGTGTGAGACCTTCCTAAGGACCAATATCATTGCTATTCCCACCTATTTCTTCCCAAGCAATACACATGGAATGGACTGTACTGAAAGTGTAATTGTTGCTGTATGTTTATTTTTCCTATGTGGAAGAAACTGGATGAATTTTTTCATGGGTCATGTGTTCTGTTTGGTCCTTCTTAGAACTACAAGAATGCATCATTTTTTATTCGAGTCACCAGCTCTGCATTCTCACAAATTAATACTCCTGGGAGGAGGCCATTACAATGCTTCATTCATGTTTCACAAAAGAGAGATGAAAAAGCAATGATATGATATTTTGAAATGTGAGCCCTGGCATTTACCATGCCTATCTGATTAAGTGCAAAAGTTGTTCAAAAAGAGGGGGGAAGTGATGTGACAGCTGATGCCCCAGTGTTCCCACTTCTGGAATGTGTTGTACTTCTCATTGATTCCAAATTAATATGGGCATTTGTAAGAAGATGGAAGAAGGAAACAGAGGAAAGGTTATTGTACAGAAACCAAACAGGTGGAAGTGAAAAGGTGGATATGTGACCAGTGGAAACACACTCACAAGGATATACATCTACAAACACCATTGATTAGCAACAATCAACATGGTACTAAGGTCTACATGAGCAGACAGTGTTCTGGTGAAAATTGAAGCTCCAAAGAGCAAAAATACATCACCATCTGGTGGTGGTGTTATCTTTGCCCCTGAAAGCAGGCTGTCTGTCCTGCTTTGATACTACTGATACCCTTTTCAGCCTTATTTCTGTAGACATTGGGAAATATACTAATTTCATGGGTGCAAATGAAGTTGAACAAGTCTTCATTGTTGGCAAGCCCTTGGTTTAAAAAAGGAAAGAAAGAAAATAGAATGAGAAGTCTAAGCCAGTGGTTCTTAACCTTTGTTACTCGGATGTTTTTGAACTGCAACTCCCAGAAACCCCAGCCAGCACAGCTCGTGGTGAAGGCTTCTGGGAGTTGCAGTCCAAAACTCCTGAGTAACCCAAGGTTAAGAACCAGTGGTCTAAGCAATATAACTATGGTGGTTAATGCCAATGCTAACTGTAGTCCAATATCAGGAGATGTTCCTCTCTCTTCCCAACTCCAATATTACATGGGAAAGAGGCAACAAAATATTTCAAGTTCCTTGTATGCACAATGGAACTGGGAAGGAAACCCCAGCACAGGGACAGCACTGGTTAGAACCTATGAGCTACATTGTGGTAAAGTAGTTGCGTTGACTGGTGATTATTGAAGCTTCTCTGTGCCCCCCTGCCATGCCCCATTCTGTGAGAATATATGCTAGGCTAGATATTACAGTACCATGAGACAGGCTGCCTGCTGAGCAATAGGGATGTCCAAATACAAGAGGAATCAAAAAGCGATTTTGGTCTACCAAACATGTGCAGATCAGCTCATTTTACAATAGAGACCATATAATTTGGCTCCAGTAGTGCATTACATCGCTTTATGTTCCATACTTACATGATGAGTTATGCAGCTGAATGGCCTGAAATGCTATGTTTAAGCATTCTGTACACCACAGCTGCATTTAAACATACCATTAGAAGACCTTAATAAAAAAATAAAAAATACTTTCTGAGAAAGTTTCTATCATGACAAGAAATAATTATTTAGCACCATAGAAATACTTGATTTCAGGCTCCCAGATTATGTAAAGGGATTGTCATACCCCTTTAAGGAAGGAGAGGCTGCACATACTGTCACTAAAACAGTATTCAGAGACCATTGCTCTAGACAGAGAGTCCTGAGGAGCTAACAACCTTTTTTATGATGTCACCAGGAACAATGCTACAGATTATACGGGGAAGTTACCTTGTGACATTTTCTGTAACAGGCCACAGGCTTAGACTGCTGGTCTCTTTACCTCACATTACACTCACAGCAAATT